TTAGAAGGACCTCTGTGATGGAGGACAAGGCCTGCCTGTTCCTGAGGGCCAGTGTGAGCTGCAGATGCTGTCACTGCTGGCTCTTGGCTGGACACCAAGCCACAGCCTGCTTCCTTAGCACTGAGGAGCCAGTGTGGACCAGAAACCCATGGTCCTTGAGCCCAGAACCCCAAGATGAACCACCCTCAGGTGACATGGGCATCACCATAGCCTTATGTCACAGTGCAGCAGCCAACTGTCAGTCTGTCGGTCTCTGTGAGGCCTAGTCAAGGATCCTTCCAGGTAAAGCAAAGCTGCCACTGCATCCCCATGGTGAGAGGCAGCCAGGCCCTGGAGCAGTGACAGGGACTATGCAGGCCTGGCTTTGCCCCAGGTTCCCACCTGCTACTACTCTCCCTCCTGCCACAGCCACCACTGGAGACATCTTAAACTCACCTTAGAGATGAGGAGACTAAGACCCAGGGCACCTTAACCTGGGAGACACAGATGTCACCTCCACTCCTCATCAGTGTCCTCATAGTGAATCTCTGAAAGTTGTCAGGCCAGACTTCTCTGACAAGCCATGCATAAGCATCCTTGTGGATTGACAACCAAGGTCCCGAGAAGTCCTGTAACTAGCAGTTGCATTCAGCTTTGCTTTAGCAGCCTTCCAGCCTACCAGCTGGTTTTAGTCACATCACTGGCATCCCAGGGACCCAAGCTGGCCAACCCTGCTCTGGCACTCACTATCCAGTTGCTGAGCTGAGAACCACCTGTTAATGCTCCATGAGCTGCTGGGAGATCAGAGCTACAGGTTCCTTCCTGAACCGCACTTCGCCTTTTCAAAGGTAAGAGTCCATGGAGCCATCCCTGACCTTGAAACTCTCAGGCGAGCAGACGCATCAGCCTGAGGCTCCTCTAGCTCTCTGATATCATTCTTTTCTAAAAGTCCATCTCCATCTAGTGACCACAGCTTGGTCTCCCTTACCCACCTGTGCCTCTGGCTACTCCTTCAGATGTGTGTTTATGCATTATGCCAACATGTGTGTGATTTATTTTTAATAGCAAAGCACAAAGGGACACAAGTGGACATCCCTTTCACCCTGAGCCCCCAAATTTGGTCCCTGAACAAACTCTTCAACCTCTATTTCTGGATCATGCATTTCCAGGGACATCTGTCAGTCTAAAGAAGAACTTTCACTTTGGCTTTGCCATCCCTGTGGATTGTTTTCCTGTGGACTGACACCTAGGACTTCTGACTTCAGTTCAAAGATGCCAAGAATGGGAAGGCACACCACTGCTGTTCTTCATGAAGAACAAAGCTGGAAACTGCAAATCAGTGACCTGAATTGAAACTACCAGAGAGCACATGCTACGGAACACCATGTACCCTGAGGTCTGGGGAAAGGCAGGTGACTGCAGAAGCAAGACCCAAGAATGCTTCCTTAGGCAGCTGAGGACACTGGACTAAATCTCCTAGTAAGTTGTGAAAGGCCAAGTGTAGGCTGCCATGAGAGAGTATAGGCTGCCTGGGGCCTGCAGGAGTAGGGAGGGAAATTTGCTCCTTTTTGCAGAACTTCCTCTCACAAGCTCCATTAAGTTCCTTGGGATTTTTCTGAAAATCCTCCCTATGATCTTACAGGAGAGGGCAATAGCAGCCATCCCTGAAAATCTACTCAAATGCATCTCTCCTGACTCTCTACAAGGAAAAAAGTCCTTAGGAGAAATGGCCACAAAAATGGCACATTGCAGTTGGAAGAAGAATCAAAGCAAATCCCCAGGCCTGTATAGTACAGGAGCACATGCCATATGCTGAAGCCAGAACTGAGCCAGAGGAAGAGAAAGAGCTCTGTGAGGACCTCACACCAAGCCCCAGACAGAGACCTAGTGAGAGTGCCCAAGAGGTTCTCCCCTGCCTCCACCACCAGGTGAATGGCATAAATAAGAGTAGGGTAAATCTGGGGTCCATGAACAAAGCAGGTTCTCTCAAGGTGCATTGTGAAAGCTTGGCCCAAAGTTGGGGTTAGGGGTAGGAAGAGTGGGGAGTAGACACTGAGACAATCCTGGGAAATCAGCTATTCCCTGAAACAGGGGTATCACACATGGAAGAACTAGAAGACTGGTGTACATGAAGCTAGCAGAGGTACCAAAAACCTCAAAGCCAGTCCAGTTCCTGATCAGATTGACATAGTCCATCACACCAGAAGCCTAAGGTGTGCTCATCTCCAAGCACAAAAACATTCACTGTTGTATCCACTGTCCTGAACAATACATCCAGCTTCCAACAAAAATAGTGACACATAATCCACTCCTAAAGGACACAGAAATAGTCAGAACCAGACTCAGACAGGACACAGATGTTGTAACTCAGGTATTTAAGATAACTATGACTCATATACTCAAAGTTCAAATAGAAAAAATATTCAAAGCCTGCAAAATTAAATGGGTAATGTCTGCACACAGAAGAAAATTCTAACTGAAATGCTAGAAATAGAAAACATGGCTACACACATGAAGAGTGCCTTTGATGGACTCATTGGTAAACTTGACACTGCAAGAAAAGAACAGTGGACATGAAAATACATCTATAAAAGTCATTCAAACCTTAAAACAGAGAAAAAGAGGGAAATGGAGAGGGAAAAACAGGACATAGCATCCATGAGCTGTGGGATAATGGAAAAGGGTCTAACGTGTATAATTGGAATTCCATAAGGGGAAGAAAAGGAAAGAGGGACAAAGAAATATTTGCAGGAAGGATGGCCAATAACTATTTTTTTCATCAATGAAAGACAACAAACCACAGATTCAAAAAAGCTCAGAAGCAGGATAAACTACCCACCTGTCTCAGCACCATTACCACCACCACTCCCACATACTAAAATTTCTGAATACCAAAAATCTAAATACAGTGATATCTCAGTTCATGAACACTTTTGTTTGCAAACAACTTGGTTTCCATCAACAGAGGTATTTGGCAAAATGTTGTTTTTGGTTGTGAACTCTGTATCAAGTGACCAACATGGCTGTGGTCATCTTTCATGCACGGGCAGAAACATGGCCTTCTTTTCCAAAATCATAGAAAAAATTAAGTTCACGAACCAAGATACCACTGTACCCAAAAAAAGAAAAAGAAATCTTGAAACTTGCCAGAGGGGAAAAACACATTCTCTACAGGGTAACAGAGATAAGAATTACAGTAGACTTCTCTCCAGAAACTGTGGGTGAGGAGACAATGGAGTGATATCTTAGAAGCAAGGAAAAGAAGAAAAAGAAATTGCAAGCCTCAAATAATCAGCACAAACATCAAAGACAGAATCAGCCTTTAATGTAACAACTGGAGAAATCTGAATCCTGCCTAGATATTTGATAATATTAAGGAAATACTGTTAATTTTTCATGTGTATCTTGCTAATTTTCTAGAATTTTTAAGTAGCCATTATCTTTTAGACACATATTAAAATTTTATGGAAGACATTATTTGATTTGCAGGATGGAGTAGATGGTATAGATAAAAGAAGACGGGCCCAGCGCTGATTCCTGTTAAACTTGAGGGATGATTTCAATGGAGGTTCACTGTTTACACTTCCTAATTTTAAACAGCTTTGAAATTTGGAATAATATAAATGAATAGAGTTTGTGAAAAAGAAATGGAGAGATTAAACCTTCTCACAAACAAAACCCAAGGAAATTTATTGCTAAAAGATCTGTCTCCAAGAAATGAGAGAAATTGTTTGGGCAGAAAGAGTAGAGATATCTCAGAGGATGTCGATAACAGAAGAAACAAAGGACACTGGAAATAAAATTAGTGAAAGTAAAATAAAATTCACTTTTCCTTGGTTTTAACTGATGTAAAATAGAGGTAAGCAAGATTTTTATTCAAGTGGCAGATAGCAGAGGTTTTTTTGTTTGTTTTTGGCTCTGGTTTTGGTTTTGGTTTTTTTGGAACTGGAAATCAAACTCAGGCTCTTGCATATTTCAGGCAGGCCCCATGCCACTGAGCTATACTCCTGGCCCCTAGATAGCAGAGGTGTTGGGTCTTGGAGGTGAGATCACTTCATCATCACCCACTCCATGCTTAGCTCCACTGTAACAGCACAAACAAGCATGGCAATAAAGCTTTATTTGCTAAAACAGACTGCTAGCCATAGTTTGCTGGCCCCTGCTCTAAAAGACAACTACCTAAGAAAAAATGCTAACAATGTTTTATGTGTTTACATATTTTAAAAATAAAATATAGGGCAGCAGCAGCACAAAAGGTGGGAAAGAGTAACGGGAATACACTGTCTCCTGATCTTTATGCTGCCCATGGAGTCCTGAGATATTTGCAAGGTAGGCTCAGATCACTTTATGATGTATGGTGTAAATTTTAGGACAAACACTAGTAGTTTTTAAAGAAATATTAATAAGCCAAGCATGATGACACTTGCCTGCAATCCCAGTACCTTATGAGGCTGAGGCAGGAGAATCACACATTTGAGCACAGGTTGGGTAACTTAGAGACTTAGTGAGACTCTGACTCAAAATAAAAATAAAAAAGATGTAATTCTGTGTGAAAGCCCTAAGTTCAATCTCTAATTGCTCTAATATCCAGAGATAGAGAGAGAGTGACTGGGAAAAGAGGGGAGGAGAAGAGAGACCAGGGTTGGAAAATAAGTAAATTAAGAGGATAAAATAGAATCATAAAAATATTCAGTTAAACCCAGAAAAATCAAAAGAGAGGGGGAAAACAAAGTAGAGATAGAACACAGAGGAAAAGCTAATAAGATGGCAGATTTTAATCCATCTATTTCACAGTCACTTTAACTGTGCATAGTCTAAACCTGGAGTTAAAACACAGACTGTCAGGTCGGATCTTAAAAAGCGAAACAAGTTGTGCTCTGCCTATAAAATATAAAGATCTAAATCAGTTAACAAAGAGTGGAGGCAAACACCAGGCCAGCACTCATTAAAAGGAAGCTGAAGGAGCTAATTAGCATCAAAGCAGAGTCGGGAACAAGGAACCAGAGACAGCGGGATGTTACCTGTTGACAGAGCGGTCCAGGCACAGGTGTACATGCCTCACAGCAAAGCTTAAACATGGGCAGCTGAAGCAGAGGGAACAGGAAAATCCACAGTTCAGCTGGAGATGTCAACACTTCTCTGCCTATAATTGATAGAACAAGTAGACAGAAAATCAGTGTGAATGTATGAGACGAAACGATGCCATCAACAGACCAGACCTAATTGACATTGATAGAACACTCCATCAACTCTGCAGGATGCACGTTCTTCTCAGGGCACAGAACACTCACCAAGACAGACATCGGGCTGAGCCATAAAACACACCTTGACAGACTGAAATGAAGAGACATCATAAAGAGAATGTGCTCAGATCATAATGAAATTAAACCAGAAATCAAAGCGCACAAACGCATGCGCTGGGGGCACAAAGCAGGAGAGGGCTCCTACGGAACTCACAGCTAGACACATGCGTCTCAGGGTGAACAGACACTGGGTGTATATTTGGAGGTGGGAATTGAGGCAAGGATGATCAGTAGCATGTGTGGATCCATGGCAGATGCAGGCCCACAAAACCAGAAGGTTACAGCCCAATAGCAAACCATTCTCAGCAGAAACGGATATGCCCGGGCCAAGCCCAGCAGGCAGAGGCCACAGCCAGGTATATAACAGGAAACCCTGGGCCTCACAGCTCCACCACTGATGCTCCTGCTCCTGGTTTACTCACACCTGTGGTCACCTAAAGACTCCCACTGGCTCAGCTGAAGGAGGAAGAAACTGGTGGGTAGCTTGGTGTGTGGTTACAAGCCACACCACAGCCTTCTTCGGATGACCTTGAAAGAAGGTGGCAAGGTAAGGTCACCCAGTGGGAAGAGAACTGGGCAATACAACTGTCCCTCCACTTTGCGAGGAAAAAGAAATGGCCTGAAACTCGAGATGCATGACGCTTGGATAGGGAAGCATTCTGATTGGCTGGTCGGGAGCCTTAAAGGGAAAAGACTGGAGAGCTGAGGACCAGGAGGTCTGGGTAGAGGCATGGGGGTGGCGGAATGGAGATGGGCATGAATCTGATGATGTTTGTACCACATGTCTATATCCAGCAGTATGTGGCCACCATGAAGATACTCTAAACAACCAAATGGACTTAATGGAGTGGGCAAGTGTTGCTGACCAGCTCTATCACTGGCCACCCAGATAACTTGTTGGGCAAATGAATGAAATGTCCAAGGGCAGTGGTGGAGGCTCAGCAGTGCAGCCTTTCCCTGCTGACAACATAGTCTAGAGTAGAACAGGCACTGCGGCCCTTCCTCAAGGAAATGAGCTACAGTCAAGTGATCACATTGGACCCTCCATCCTAGGAGGGCCAATGGTTTGCTCTCCCAGGCAGAGGTTCTAGAAGAGGGTTTGTCTTTCTCATGCCCTATTTCTGCTGTAGCACAGCCTAAGGGTCCTGAGGTTTACCCCTCAGCCCCAGCTCAGACCCCTCGTTCCATCAGATCAGACCAAGAAATCATTTGACAGCAAAGGAAGTGGGGGTGGCTCACAGCCATAGGTTCTTCAGCCACATGCACACAATAAAGAATCCCTGGCCAGTGAAGCAAGGCTGTCTGGGGAAGGACCTATCCTCAGGATGGAGGGCAGCATGGAGTAGGGTGCCGCCCCAGGTACAGCACGTGCACCGAATCAGACTTCTGTGCATATGAGCATTGAGTAGGGTGAGTCCCTAGGATCAGGTGGGAATGGGACAGCCGCTTCGCACTGCTCCTCACAGGACCCTAAAGGATTTGTATTTTTGTCCCTGCAATTCTGGGTTCTGTAGGGTAAGAGGTCCTGGTCCCCAGAGGGACCACACCAGCGGCACAAAAAGTATCCCAATGAGTTATAAACCTCAGCTACTGCCTGGAGACTTGGGACTCCTTGATGGGGAATCACTAGGCAAGAAAAGGAGCCCCCTCTTGGTGGTTGCAATGGATCGCAGTCAGCAGGTAGATATGGGACCACTGTGTATGGTGATAGTGGAGTCTTGGTAATCTGCAGGATGCCTCACAATAGCGCCTTGTCCAGTTGCAACTGTAAGTGAGCACAGCAGGGTCAGGGTCCTCAGACATCTGGGTCGCATTACTGGGAAATCACTGATGTCTGCAGAGGCAGCCTGAAGGTGGAAGGAAGGGCTCAGTACCAACAGTGACCCTAAAGCCAACCACCAGGGGCCAATGGTTAATAGTGGCTCAGCTGCTGCTATGTGTCAGGGTGAAGTTCCTGTCCAATGGGACAACCATGCTCCTTGGAGATGGCCGGGTGGCATAGACGGCTGGAACAACAAACCAATACCTGAGCGCAGTAAACTGTTTCCCTTGGAAGTATGGTGTGTAGCTTCTCTGCTTTGGGCTTTTCCAACAGACCATGGTAAAACCACAGAAGCAAAATTGTTTACAGAAGTTGAGGGAATTGTTACCAAGAAAAAACCTAAGTAAACCCTCGATCCTCACTTGCTCTTAGCTGACTTGAAAGAGCACTGACTTTGGAAGTAACACAGCGGGGTGGTACATTATTAGCATCCCACCAGCTTTGCTGTAGATAATATCTCTGATGTGTGAACTATGATAACAGTTGCCTAGGTTACTTTGGAGGATCTGAAGGCCACTTCTGCTGAGAACACTGACTCTTCCCTTGATCCTCACGTGCCTGCAAGGTGTCTGGAACAGTATGGAGAGATGGCATGTGTGTCTTCCTGTTGTGTTTTGTTCTTGAACCAGGGTCTCCTCTGCCCTGCATGTACACAAGTGATTGGCCTTTGGAGCTGATCTGTGTTTTCTTTGTCTTTGTCTTTCTCTCTTCACTCTTGTCTTATCCTACCCTTGTGCTTTCCTAGAAGCCCCATCATAAGACCCGAACTGAACCACAAAGCCAGTATGTTTGCCCCGCATGTTGGTGCCTAGCTACAGGAATAATTCAGTCAATTCCCAGGGCAAGTTGACTGTGACTACCCACGGGTCCATGTCTAGCACAAGAAATTACATCTGGAATGGGGCCCTGTCCAGTGGAGACTTACTGGACTTTAACCCAGCCCAGGCCGGAGAATCTGTAGAAACTTTCTGTTCCCTTTGCTCTAAAGCAGCTGGTCTGCTCTTGATCAGTGCTGATTCCCTTCAGCTGAACTCCCCCTCAATAAAGCACCACCTGTACAAATATGCATGTGCTTGGTCTCATTTCCACTGTTTCCATGCTGAAAGATACTATTCAGTATTGCTACTGCCTAAAACACGGCATCTGAGGTCTCGACCATGTTCCTGTCTTAGAGAATGAATAAATGTGGCGTAGTCCAGCTCTCAGAAATATAGCTTCAGGGATCATACAGGTAAGAGGACTCTGGAAGTGTGCTGACTCCACTCATAATTTTCAAAGCACAGGCTAGAAATTGATTGCTGAGATTGAGTCCAAGCCCTGCACTTGCCAGTTGTGTGACCCTGAGCCAGTTATCAACCTCTTTGACTCAGTTTCTCCAGCTGGCCCTTGACAGGGTTCACGTCATCATGTCCATATGCAATGATAATAGGCACATAACAAGTACTATTGCTATCACTTTTTAATCATTTCATTGACCAGGAACTGAAAATCAGAGAGGCCTAGGCTTGGGATCAGGGGATGCCAAGGCTGGGACTGCAGAACATTGGAATAGAAGGGTCCAAAGACCCTTCTGGACTCATCAGAGAGTGAGTCCAGAGCTTCTGGAGACACTCTCTGGTCCCAGGCATCTCAGCCCCAGAGGGACACATTCCCTAGGAAGAAATGAGCCCAGTTAAGCCTCGCATCAGTTAGACTGTGGCCCTGAGGCCCCAGTGCAGGCAGGTGGCTATGAATTTACTTGTTAAAACCCACCACCCTGCCACTTGTGATAGTGCATTTCCTTTTGGGTAAATCTCACCTACATAAAGCTGCTTTGATGCAGAGGAGGCCAGAATCCAGATATTCCAGCACTGAGGGAGAGGTTTCAACTATCCTATCAATTCACCTCCATCTCCAGCTGCTGCTTGTCACATGGCTGACCTCCTCCCTCCGCCCTCCACTCTCAGTCTATCTGCACACCAGTACCTTTCACAGACAAAGATGCCTGAGACAACCCCACACTGCCCCCTGACAGAACCCAGGGGACAGAGAGTGCCACTGAGACCCAGAGGCACTGTATCCTCCAGTATATATCCTAGCCCCCAGAGACCAGGGTACCCAGGAACCTGACCACATTCATGTCTGTGCAGGTGACGGGGCCAGGTGCCAGGCAGAGCCCTCTGCCTCCCCTACTGCCTGGACCTCTGCAGGTGCCATTCCCACTCTGGGCCACAAAGACAGGGTGGGTCCAGAGCCGCTGGAGACACACTCTGGTCCCAGGCATTTCAGCCCCAGAGGGACATGTTCCCCAGGAAGAAATAATCACAGCTAAACCTAGCATAGGTCAGACTGTGGCTGTCCCAGAAAACACTAGTGACATGGCTGCACACAAGCTGGGTGGGGGACAGAGCACACCAGGAGGGAGGAGTCCAGAAAAAAACAGCTGTAAGAAAGAGCACGAAGATGGAAAATTGCTGTCCCAATGAAATCTGAGGTTTTAAATGTAGGACATCTGGGCCAAGCATCCCTCAGCGTGGAAGTGGAGCCAGGACAGGAAGTCCCCCAGGATGTGGAGTCCCGGAGAACATCATGGAGGGGCCCAGGCAGGCTGATCACCATGTCCAGTGCAGCCATCCACAGTCCTGCTACAGTTGACCATCTCTGGGCATCTCATAAGGAGCGGGCCGCCTGTCATCAACAGCACTCCTTAATTAAGCAGTAATTGGCTCTCTAAAGACATTTATTGACTTCAAGTGCTATGTAATCAGATGTGTCTCACATAGTTGTAGAGGCTCGTTAAGTTTTTTTTTAATAATTAAGTGGCACTTAATGAAATAGGAATAATTGTCCAACCTTGTCCACATGAAACCCTTCTTGGAGACGTGTGACTTGATAGGCCTCAAAGCTATCACATCGCTCACCCACCTGGGGCCTGGGTGGAGGGCAAGCAGGCTGTGTCCTGTGGAGAGTCCTGAGATCCGGACTTCACCTCAGTGTCTTATGTGGATAGGTGGGGACAGAGGGCGGGACTCCCCCAAC